AGTTTGCGCATCTGAATTCCAAAGTATTTTTAAATTTCGATATTGGAATGTTTTTAATATCAACTAAAACTTTWGCTTAACTTAAAACGATATTTATTATCGCTTCTCAAGTTCTACTCATACAAATTCGGTTTTTATTTAAAACTACGTTGAATTTTAACTAATTTTGATTGTATTTTTTAATGAATAGCCTCAAGCTAAAGTAGCCGTAATTTCACAATAAATGTTCAGATCGTCTTTTATTTTAAAATTAAGAATTAATTTTTGATAATTCGAATATAAAACTCTTTATACTTATGAAGATTTAGATTATATTTTTAAATAGCAATGATCTTATTTTGTTTATTGACCTTAGATTTTTTTCTTTTTTAAAATTTTCTTATTGAGTTGAATAACTGCGAACAGCTTGAGGCATTTAAAACGATATTTAGACATCCACCCAAACAAAACAGCTCTTTTGGTAGTTTTAGTCTAAAGTAGTCTTCGACTCACTTTCATTAAATTTCGCTAATTCCTAACGCTTCCCTTAGGGCGTACTCAGMGGATAAAACTCTCAATTTATTTCATAAACCAAGCCACGACAAAACGCTATTTAATTGTTCAACGCTTTTTACTGACTCTCAGGCAAATTAAAAGAATGACAAGTTATTCAAAAGCAAGGAAGTCCTTAATAACCCACACTTGTTTTGAATKATTAAGTAATTTAACATAGCTGTTATGGGGCTGTTATAAGCACTCGTTGTCCCTTGAAAAACTACTTTATGACCGTTTAACGACACAGCGACAATATAACCGCTTTATGATATTCTTACCAAGAGTCTTACGGTGAAAGACGAGAATGAMGGTAGGTTGTGTTGTAATCACTCTTTTTATTAAGTGTTAGTAAATCTAATATAAAACAGYAGTTTTAAGCTCTGAAAAGTGATAAAAAAATACCAGAATGTTGATAAAAAGATGTGATAAGCCAGTAAATTTCGACGTTTTTTGACGTCGCTTTTTTTCTGAAGCATAAAGGGTACAGATAACAAAAAAGTGTGTTGATATAGTAAACAAAAAAAAAACAATATAACAGCAAGGTTAGCAAAAAACATAGAAAAGCAAAAATAAAGGGAAAAAAGGCCAAGCATTTTTCATCCCCTTTGAATTGGGAAAAACACTGAATCRGATTTGATGGGAAAATACTGAATTTTGGTATAAAGAAACAATAAAATTGGGTCAACTTTACACGCAAAAAGTGTCAACTAAAGGAAAATATTGATCTTCCAATCGAAAAAACCGTCGATATTGATGTGAAAAAGGAAGTTTGACGAACTAAAATCCTGGTTTCTATACGGACCGAACTGTATTATTGATCTACATATATGACTTTCTGGAGACACTATATCTAAGGCGGCCTCATTCTACAAGATTTGGCTCTTTTACCAGGTGTTATGTAGTCGCATAAAGGTTCGTCGAACTCTTATCCGACCAGCCATACGACCTTACGAAAAAACCTCAAAGACAGCCACATACGTCATGAGGTTTGCCTCTGTTACGACTGTATTAATGTAATTACATCTATATGATCAAATAGATCATGTGAAACTCTTGTACGACCAGTTCTGAAAGAAA